AGTATGTCCCTCTAAGAATGTGTGATGAGGTCCAGTTCGTCACAATGTCTCCATGAAGCACATCATATTCATCGTGTCCCAATTAGCTGTTGGTGCAGCCGTGGCCAGTGTACCTTAGGACTTTTTTGGGTTCTCATACCTTGCTGCACATTATACCTGAAGCAATAGACAACCCTTTGGTACTGGAAATAGACTAATTAGGATGTTAATTAACACAAATTAAGATGTTTCCAAACATTATTTAATGTGAAATATATCATTTTTGAATAATGGCTTACTAAGGTAATTTGGCATTTAAAGTCTTGGTCATCAATCTAATGTACCGATGCTAAAAAAATTGGGTTAAGAACAAATATAATCTAGATATCACTGGCTCACTGTCTATACCTATATCACTGGCCTGTTAGCTTCTTTAATAAAGAATCCTTAGCTTTATAAGATTTATTTATTAACTTAGAGTTATATACAGCAGCTCTGATGTTTATCTCAGATCTTGATTTAATAGCTCTGAAACAACCTGAATTGAGGTTTTTAATTGCAATAAATAAAAAAACAAATAAACATTGACATGTTTTCATTTCTTTAAAGATAAAAACACCAATATTAGCTGTTAAGCATCTATTCAAAATTGGCATAAACCTTTACAATTCTGCCAATCTAAGAATGAAAGTAAAAACACACAAGACATTACTCCATCAACATGATACTAAAACCAAAATGTGCTTGCTTGGCATTTAAAATACAGAGCATGTATATCTCATTAAAATTGCAAATTCATTTCTGTTCTAGATGAAATAGCATTGTATCACTTTATATCACCGCATGGAAGATATATGTATGTAACCTTTATGGTGTAATGGTCCACAATTTATTAATCACGGGCGTAAAATCATTCACATTCAAAATGTGCACTTGTCAAGAATACATAAAACAACATATTGTGTAAAATAAGTTCACGCAGTGCTTCATATCTCTGTCCATATTAAAAATATATATATATACATTACCATCACCACATTAGCTTAGGGAAAGCAGGAAAGCTACCTCTAGTGATGCTGCTGCATTAATTAGGCCAAAGTCTCAGGCTCTGCGTCCAAGTTTGGCGCATCCACGTCAACATCTGGTACCCGCAGTGACAATTTGGACGCAACATTATTTGCCCCAGGTCGTATTCATGTCATTATTATTATTATTGATATTTATATAGCACCAACTAATTCCACAGTGCTTTACAATATTATGAAAGGGGGGGAAATTTACAATACATGAGACAATTACACAATGACACAGGAACAATAGGTAGATGAAGACCCTTCTCAAACAAGCTTAAAGTCTAGATGAGGTGGGGTACAAATACACAGCAGGGCAGCAAGGGTGACAGCCACCAAACATGGTGGAAAAGTAACAGAGCTGGAGATGAGAGTGGAGTATGGCTCTTTTAGGAGATCGAGAGACAGACTTGGGTAAGTATAGATAAGTTACTCTGGGAGTCCATAAGCATTTCGGTACAGATGTGTTTTGAGGGACTTCTTAAACAATTGAAGACTAGGGGAGAGTCTGATGGGGGTAGGCAGTCTGTTCCAAAAGAAGGGAGCCACCTGCGAGAAGTCCTGCAAGCGCAAATTAGTAGTAAGGGTGTGAGCAGCGAACAGGAGAAGGTCACCGGCAGAACGGTGATACCAAAAAGGGGCATATCTATGAATCAGGGAAGAAAAGGTAAGGGTTAGTATTTTTAATTGACACTTATATGATACAGGAAGCCAGTGTAAAGATTGACAGAGGGGCGAGGTATGGGAGGAACGACGGGTGAGAAAGATCAGCCTGGCAGCAGCATTCCTTACCGATTGTGGCGGGACAGTTCGGCTTTTGGGGAGACCAACTAGGAGAGAATTACAGTAATCCATGCAAGAGATTACCAGTACATAAACAAGCTCCTTGGCAGCATCTTGCGCAACCAATCATTGTTAACAGGAGTAGTCCCAGAAGATTGGAAGTTAGCGAATGTTGTGCCCATTCACAAGAAAGGTAGTAGGGACATGTCGGGCAACTATAGGCCAGTAAGCCTCACTTCAGTAGTGGGGAAAGTAATGGAAACCATGTTAAAGGATAGGATTGTTGAACATCTAAAATCACATGGATTTCAAGATCAGAGACAACATGGGTTTACTTCAGGGAGATCATGCCAAACTAATCTTATTGATTTTTTTGATTGGGTAACTAAAATAATAGATCAGGGTCGTGCAGTAGACATTGCTTACCTAGATTTCAATAAGGCGTTTGACACTGTTGCACACAGAAGGCTTATCAATAAACTGCAATCTTTAAGTTTGAATTCCAATATTGTTGAATGGGTAAGGCAGTGGCTGAGTGACAGACGACAGAAAGTTGTAGTCAATGGAGTGTATTCAAAGCATTGTCTTGTCACCAGTGGGGTACCTCAGGGATCTGTACTTGGAGCCATTCTCTTTAATATTTTTATTGGTGGTATTGCAAAAGATCTTGATGGTAAGGCATGTCTTTTTGCTGATGATACTAAGATATGTAACAGGGTTGATGTTCCAGGTGGGATAAGCCAAATGGCAAATGATTTAGGCAAACTAGAAAAATGGTCAGAGTTGTGGCAGCTGACATTTAATGTGGATAAGTGCAAGATAATGCATCTTGGATGTAAAAGCCCAAGGGTAGAGTACAGAATATTTGATAGAGTCCTAACCTCAACATTTGAGAAAACGGATTTAGGGGTAATTATTTCAGATGACTTAAAGGTAGGAAGACAATGTAATAGAGCAGGCGGAAATGCTAGCAGAATGCTTGGTTGTATAGGGAGAGGTATTAGCAGTAGAAAGAGGGAAGTGCTCATGCCATTGTACAGAACACTGGTGAGACCTCACTTGGAGTATTGTACGCAGTACTGGAGACCGTATCTCCATAAGGATATTGATACTTTAGAGAGAGTTCAGAGAAGGGCTACTAAACTAGTTCATGGATTGCAGGATAAAACATACATGGAAAGGTTAAAGGATCTCAACATGTATAGCTTGGAGGAAAGACGAGACAGGGGGATATGATAGAAACATTTAAATACATAAAGGGAATCAACACAGTAAAGGAGGAGACTATATTTAAAAGAAGAAAAACTACCACAACAAGAGGGCATTGTCTTAAATTAGAGGGGCAAAGGTTTAAAAATAATATCAGGAAGTATTACTTTACTGAGAGGCTAGTGGATGCATGGACTAGCCTTCCAGCTGAAGTCATAGAGGTTAACACAGTGAAGAAGTTTAAGCATTCGTGGGATAGGCACACGGCAATCCTAGATATAAGATAAGACCAGGGACTAATGAAAGTATTTTAAAAATTGGGCAGACTAGATGGGCTGAATGGTTCTTATCTGCCGTCACATTCTATGTTTCTATATTTTTAAGGTGTAATCGACAGGTTTTAGCAACATACTGCATATGTGGGGCAAAGGTGAGGCCAGGATCAAAGATAACACCAAGACAACGAGCTTGCAAGGATGGACTGATGAAAGCACCATCAACTTGCAGGTAGAGCAAAGGAGGAGGATCAGCATTATGAATGGGAAAAATAAGAAGCTCAGTTTTATAGAGATTGAGTTTCATAAAGCGGGAGGACATCCAATCAGAAAATAGAAAATAGGCAAGCAGTGACACGTTGCAGAACTGCGGAGTCTCCAATATTAACGATCCAATTTACGGCTGCCTTTTTCAGTTGCAATTTAACATTTTTTAAATATACTTATACCATATATACCATATAATACAAAATATCCACTCTTTCACTTGAGGTTCACCTGTCCAGTATCTGCATGTCTATATTTTTGCTTCAAAAGTCCAAAACTATCCACTGTTTCCAGATCGTCATCCTCTTTTAATAAATGCTGGCCAGTTGCCACATGATTAACCTTTGCACCACAAAGTTATTTAACTGGTTGCCTTCTGTCTGCTAGTGCTGTCAGCAGCATATAGTACTTAAAATGAGCGTTCACTTACAAAAAGCAGGTGAACGATCATTAGAGAACATGTGTCCTGCCGGACGCATTCCATGCTTTATACATATTAAGAATTCTATACTTTTTATGTGGTTTGATGCAAAACGCACCAATTTTAATCTGGACACCGAAGCCATCTGGCATGGTGGTGCAGATCCAGTTTGGCTGTTACGAGAATTGCCATTGCAGTTGGAATTTGGCCATTTTCACTGGATTTCGTTTTTCTGGCCATAAACCGGTGTTTAGTGAATTACCCTGCAAATAGTTTTGAATCCCACATGCATCTAAATTTACATTATTACATACCCCAAAATTTAACTGATATAGGATCAATCTTATTAATATATTTATAATTACAAAATACAATGCCTTCTTTTGGATCAACAGCAAAAACATATGTGAGGAAGGCTGAACTTGATGGACGCAAGTCTCTTTTCAGCTATGTAACTATATAATTATTCACTTTCCCTACTATGTATATTAGGCCTTACACAATTTTCTAAATGGTGCATTCTGTATTTTAACCGGACAAATGTTACATCTCTACCATTACGGATATTATATTACTCATCTCTGCAAAGTGATTTGTTAAATGTTCATATTAAGTGCCTGATGGAAGTAGAACATTCAACTCATAAATACTCTCGATCTCTGGGATATTTATTTCTCAAATTTCTTCTTCTATCATTCTGGATTTCATCTAAAACACTCATAGAATTTTAAACAACGGAACTTTTTTAATGTACAGACACACCGTGACCTTGATTTAATATTGTTGGATACGCTTTCCAAGAGATTGAATATTTTTTTAATAACATTTTAAAATATTTTTTCAGCATATTATATATTTAAGGCTGGGCATGTAGTTGTGGGAGGGGCTTGGTTCCCCTTTAACAGGGCCTCCTACCCTTTCTCTCACCGTTATGGGTCTGGCGAGTTGCAGGTGATGACTTCTGGTCACTCACAAGTCGCCATCTTGCTGTTGCTGTTACCTGTTTTCCCTCGAGGTCTGGTTTCTTTGTTTCTGGCCGCCGGTACAATCATTGGCTCGGCTTTCCTGTCTTCTCACTGACTGTTTACAGCCCGCTTCCTGCTCCAGCTCGAAGAAGACTGAACTGGAAGTTGTCCGCTGAACTGTAACAACCGTCTTGACTCGGTCGCATCCCACGGCGTCATCTTGGCTTCGGTCTATTTCGTTATTTGCCCGTTCGTATGTTAATTTGTTTCTTTCTGCGGCCATCGGGCCTTTAAGCATGAACGCCAGGTTATATACATAATACAGGGGAGCTTTAAGGACTTTGTTAAACTCATGAACGAAGGTCCCGCATCGGCTCCTTTCGTATGTTTAGGCTCCACTTCACATGCTTTTGCACTGTTACAGACAAACAGTTATTCTAGCGAACACTACACGATTCCAATTGAAGTGTTAGAGCTTTTCGCACACTTTCTCCCGAATGCCTTACGCTCTATCAAGTTACACTTCATAGGAATTAAAGAAATTTCCCTTAGACTACGGGTGTTCGAGTATTACGGCAATGTGGGGCCACCTAACGGATGCAAAAGGGTACTACAAGCTGAAAAAAAAATTTCTGTCATATTTGTATATATGTTAAATTCTTAAAGTATTGCTATGGTATTGAATGGTTAAGTAAGGTTTGTTGTGTCAATCTTATAGATATGTCAATATCTACTTATCTCATCACTTATGTCCCCAGGTTTTAAAGGTTTGTACACTGTTTCAGGGTTTTCTAAATTTCACAGGAATCATATTATTAACTAGGTGGGTTACATCCTGTTTACTTGTGATCTATATTAGCAAGGTTGTCCTTTTCTATGCTTATTGCAATTTACTTTGTTTTTAGACTATATACTGTGATCGGCCAGTTCTCTATTACGTGGTATACTGCATTACAGGGCAGCATTGGCTCATTTTACCTCATAACTGGCATTCGGGTAGGTTATCTTAATTTATTGGAGGTCCATGATTTGGCGCCCACGTTATTTTTACAACTCCATCTTTACTGTACATTTCTCACCAGTAGGTTACTGTCAGGTTCCCTTACCCCATACCTTATTACTCCTAAAGTACTATCCACTGTTGTTACAGTTTCAGGTATGTCATGTTACCACATACCATTTCACAAATCATTACCTTTTTTATCTAGAATTTTACTGGCTCATACGGTTCTAGGTGGCCAATAATAAGTATTTTCAGGCCTCTATGCCTTTTGTTAGTGGTCCCGTGAGGCCAACACCTGTCCTCATACTTGGAGGTATACGCCCTTCGGGCCAACGCATAGTTAGCCACCTCACATGGTTGCATAGAGAGGGCCCCACCTGTCATTCCCATTGTATTTTATGTTTTCATTTTCACTGAGGGGCCAACATTCTGCCACAAAACTTGGTGGCCACAAAACCCCCTGAACCAACACATAGATAAAGCCTATCAAGCCGCTTGGCAACTAGTATGGGCTCACCTGTCACTTTCTTTAGTGGAATCATTTTGCCACTTGGCAATAGATCACCAGCCAGTAGTCATGTGGGTCCCAACTAATTATGATGTCATATTTTAGAATGTCCCATATCATTCCAGAGTGGGATCCAGTAGCTCCCCTATGGTCTAGATCTTCCAATACTTTCCCGGTTGGAACCTCACCCACTCCACCAGGTAATATTTGTTTTCACCAAACATTACAATGGTCATTAACCATCGCATGTGGTCCCACCTAGTCTCAAGAAGGACATCCTGAAGTGCAAGGATGTTAATCTTGTTTCTCTCCTGAATGCCTCCCAGGATGTCATCGAGAATAGGACCTATGCATATGAGGATGTTTCAGTGGTCCTAATGGCTAGAGAACCAAGACTAAATAAGAATTATCTATTCCAGAATTTGGCTTTTGGTGTATATAGGGACGTGTTGTACTCAGTTTACCCAGATGGGGTGGGAACTGGATGCATATAGGCACAAGCTGGTGGACCTGGGGCACAAGTATAAAGATGGTAGTCATAGGTTTCTATGACTACCATCGTTCTTTTGTCTGCAGCTCTCACTCAGTTTCATCTCAGTGCAAATTGGAGCAAACTAGATACTGAGTTATTCTGCAGACACTTTGCAGGTCTTAGAACACCGGCTTGTGCAGGGTGCGTGTCCACTTCCCATTCCAAAAACAAAGTTTCCAGGGGCATTCAGTCTCATATACCACCAGTAGGTTTGAGAAGGTCTTAAAAGACAATCTGGAGTGGAACATAACTTTTTTTGATAAGTCCCAGAATTGCAACAAGTTTAATGCCAGCACCTGTGGCTTCAGCCCCTGGAGATCCTCATAAATGTTCCCTAAACTCTACCTCACTTGTGTAAATATTATATTTGGGCTAAACTGTTTCATAATCTCCCATTATAGCATTTGGTCAATTTTCTTATTGATGGGCTATCACAGGGGTTTCACACAGGTATTGTTCACATGCCATCTGATATGCTGGACTACAAGGCGAACGGCACTACGAGTTCCAGAGACGGTTGATGTATTGATTAAATGGAGTTAGATCAGGGTTTCATTTTGGGTCCTTTTAAGTCCCCATTTTGGGTCCTTTCACTCTCATCTCATCTCATCTTGGAGAACAAATCCTTTTGGGGTAGTCCCAGGGAAATCCTCACAAAAGCACAGCATAATTATTTGACCTATCAGCCCTCACTCCACAACAGTACCTAGTCTCAATACTCTCATCCCCTCTGACAAGTTCTCCCTACAATACTCTACAATTTAGAATGCTATCTGAGCCATTTCTTGCTACAGGAGTAGGAGCTTGGCTCAGTAAGAAAGACATGGTTAAAGCGTTCAAATTACTTCCCATTCACCCTTCACTTTGGCATCTGCACGGCATTGAGTGGAGGGATCTATACTATTTTCCCGCCTCACTTTCAAGTCCAAGATTTTGACATTTATGCGGGCTACTAATTAATATATGCAGATGCCAAACAGTCATTCATTACCTAGATGATTTCTTCACAATTAAAGACAACTCTTCCCCCCCCCACCCTCATAGTCTCACTGCGGCAATCAGTCTTTTTAGGTCCCTGGATATACCTGTGTCCCCACTGGAATGGAAGGTCCAGACACTGGTATACACTTCCTGGGGATCCAATTGGATTTGGTTTCAATGCATTCCTGTCTTCCTCATGAAGGGATTGAGCGCATCCTCACAAGTATAGACCTGTACTTGCTGTTGGGCTCCTGCAACTGCAAGGAGTTATGGTCTCTGCTGGGCTAGCTCAATTTTGCCATGAGGCACATCCTTCATTTCATGACTTCTGAGTTAATTTCCTGACCTTCATTCAGACAATACCCGCATCTCCCTAGACCAAACGCAACTTCCGACTTACTTATGGGGCACACTTTCCTAACTACATGGAACAGTAAACATGTTCATCCCCCTATATCCACCAATTACCCAATCCTCTGGACAGATGCAGTGGCCAACTCTGGTTTCACTGCCATCTGTGGCAATCAGTGGCTCTGGGGCTCATGGACAACATAGGTTAAGAATATACCAGTTTTCACCTAAACATCTGCCCTATTCAAGTTATTTCCAATAGTGGCAGCAGCAATTGCGTGTGCCCCTTCTGGGCAGGCCACTCGGTCAGATGTTTTTGGACAACCAAGCTACCTACCATATCATAATCTTCACTGTTATTATGCGGTTCTTAAGGAATAATATGTGGGTGGCGGCTACACACCAATTTTTCCTCATAGGCATCCATGTTCCTAGGGTCACTAAAGTGTCTGATGACCACCTATTTCATTCCGCTTTCATGCTTTTCACACAACTCTACCTACAGCTTCCCTGCTGGCCACTCTCGTCCCTCCATTCCAGGATATTTTACTGGATTAAATGTCTTGATAACACACGCCCGGATTCTCACCCACCTGGCACTATCTGTAAACACTAGGAATCTTAGAATAGGGCTTGGCAATTTCAATATGTTCACTACCGATTATCACGTATGGGTTAGGTTTGCTATGAAATCCATGTTAGGTTTCGCTTCCTTTTGCCACCTCAATTTAAATTTGTCCTTTAGCACCATTAAACTTTACCTAACAGGCATCCAACACCATATGCTGACACAATGCCCCGACAAAAAAAAAATCGGATTCCTACCATCTTACGAGATTAAGGCCTTACTCAACGGAATCCAAAAATACACAACAATATTACCCGCTTAAGAATACCTAACTACAGTTAATTGTTCCACACCTATTAGATTCATCATCTTTCAAACCCCTCACTAACATGGTAATCAAACTGCTATTTACCTGGTTTTTATGGCTCCTACAGCCAAGAGATTTCACAGTCATCAACCTTGCTTCCACGGATTACCTTAAAGGTGCCATATTCACAATTACTAGTGTCACTATGTCCTTTCACTTGCTCCAAACTAGCCAGATGGGGAATATAGTTGACATACCCTACTATCCTACGCACAAGCAGTGGTTCCCAGTGGAAATATTGGTAAATTTTCTTAGCTCAACGCAAAACATCCACACCAATTTTTATTGGAGCTACATGGTCATATTCATGCTCTATGTCCGCATGCTGTTAACTACATTAGGCCTAAACGCAACCTACTTCTTAGGCCACTCTTTTCGTATGGGGGGCAACATCATCTGCATCTAGCGATAACATCCAGGGATGTCATGTCATCGGGACTATCGGACGCTGGGAAACATCCACCTACGCAAAATATATAAACCCCAACCAGTTCAAGAGATACGTCAAGCGTTTATCGATATATCCAAGTAATAATATACAAGGGTTGAAGTATAAATACATTTTGTTGGTATACTTTCTTTTTGCCCTTCTTATTACAGGCCTACTGCATTTGTCGGTTCCGGCACACCACAACCGACTTGTTTTACTTTACTATTTGTATTCTCAACTATGTTATATTTTACTACAGCTTGTTGCCCCGAACACAAATAATCATATATAAAAAATATAGCAATATATAAAAAAAATATGCAGTTTAAATATTTTTATAATATTACATTTGTTTACCCAAAAATATCAAAGAATTTGGAAAGCTTATCCAATAATATTATCCAATAGATAACTTTTTCCTATCTTAAAGAGACACTCTATGGCCCAAATACAAATAAATAAAAATCACTGTTTAGTAGATATATAGCAAACGAAAAATTGCACGTATTTAATCATGCATTTTGTCATTGGAGTTATATCTAAAAATAGCTTGCAAAAACTGAGTTTAGTGCAAATAAGCTAACTAAACCAGAAAGTAACAGTGTGACGGAGCTTCAGTACTCCGACTGAGTCCAAGTCTGCTTTTTAAAAGCTATCAGGGACCCTGGAGCACTTCAGACCAAGTCACCGAGGCTAGACTGGGATCGCTGAGGGCCATGTCCATCCTGGACCAGGCTACTAGGCATATAGCCCTGGACACCCAGCAGAGCAGTAATCCATAATCAGGGCTCTTTTCCCAAACATCAGACTACATTTGGTGAAGGTTAAAACAACAACTCCCTTTATTGAACATAGCACACATATTTATGTCCCCAATCAATACATTCAACATACCCTGCACAAATTCTGGGCACAAGGTGATCAAAACACAAGAGGAATCTGAAGACCAACACATAGTGTCTGTCTTCCACCCCCCAGTGGGGGTGTAACCAGTATACCTGTTGTCTGTGGGGTGTAACCAGTATAATTCATAAAAGTGTTAATTTCTAAATATGACACACTCTTCATTAATAAAGCTTTTCAACAAGCTAGTACATTACGGGTCTGGAGGGTCCCTTTATACACATGTTCTTGGACCCTGTTTCTATAAATCTTGCTGTTTTCCCAAGATACTGGAAGTCAAAAAGGGAGGAGCGGCGCGAGAGGGGGCTGCGTGTGTGTGGTTTTCTCGTTTTCTCACGGAGAGAGAGAGAGAGAGACAAAAGCTTGGCTCACAGGATGACTTTCAATAGATCGCAGCGAGGTAGCTGCTCTGCTACTCACGAAAACCTTGACCCAGAACCCCGTCGTCTACGAATGATTTAGCACCGGGTTCCCCCTCGAACGTGCGGTGCGCTTGGAGAGAGATGGCACGCCCTCGTTCCGTCTGCCTTCCGGTCTCTAAGCGAGCGGCTCTGCCCACCGGCTCCCCCGGCGAGGGCCGGCTATCGTCGGCCCACCGGTTAACAAATTTAAACCTATTTAGTTTAGAAAAACGTCGCCTGAGAGGGGATATGATAACATTATACAAATATATTCGTGGCCAATACAAACCATTGTGTGGAAATCTATTCACAAACCGGACTTTACATAGGACACGAGGCCATGAGTTTAGACTGGAAGAAAGAAGATTTCGTCTAAGGCAAAGGAAAGGTTTTTTTACTGTAAGAACAATCAGAATGTGGAATTCTCTGCCTGAGGAAGTGGTTTTATCAGAGTCCATACAGATGTTCAAACGGCTACTAGATGCATACTTGCAAGAACAGAATATTCAAGGATATAATCTTTCAATGTAGGGTAATAACTGCTTGATCCAAGGATAAATCTGACTGCCATTCTGGGGTCAAGAAGGAATTTTTTTCCTAGTTTGTTGCAAAATTATGCTTCAAACTGGGTTTTTTTGCCTTCTTTTGGATCAACAGCAAAAAACAAATGTGAGGTAGGCTGAACTTGATGGACGCAAGTCTCTTTTCAGCTATGTAACTATGTAACTATATGTAACTAAGGCATGTCAAAAAATATATATCTTTGCTGTTACATAATTATTATTTTCCAGTATTATCTTAATATATATATTTGTTATATCTAGTCATATTGTACTAGTAGTTATAAACGTAAAATTATATTGTACTTCAACGCAAACCCCACATCTACAGAAATGTCTAGTGTCTGTGAGCAATGTTTTTGATTTAGGAACTGGAGGCAGCGTACCAGGAGCAAGATACAATTTAATACTCTGAGTTCCTATAAAGGTTATTTTAGGATTTTTAGGGAGAACTGAATATTATTTCATCCTGCCAAAAATACCTCTAGCTACTTCTAATAATTTCATTCATCTTTTACGCTTTAATAAAATGTATAAAGTTCCAGTTTCTTAACCCTATTTTTTCCATTTTCTTTCTTACAGTTAAGTCGTTCTAATCTATTTGTATTTTAGTTCATTTGCCTTTTCTGTTTCCCTTTGCTTGTAATCTTTCACCAAGAATCCTTGTTTTTATATGTCAACCTGTATCCTATAAACTGAGAAATATGTACAATTCCCTTTTATACTTTTAAACAGAGTTAAATGTTTTTATTTGCACAAAGCAAGTGAACAATCATTAGAGAACATGTATCCTGTCAGATGTATTCAGTGCTTTAAAAATATATACTTTAATTTTAATCTGGACACTGAAGCCATCTGGGATGGTGGTGCAGATTCAGTTGGACTGGACAAAGTCTGACTGGATTTGGCTTTAATAATATCCAACTGGAACTGGCTTTTATAAGAATTGGCATTCGAGTTGGGATTTAGCCATTTTCATAGAATTTTGTTCTTCTGGACAATATCCGCTGTTTGTTTTAACGAATTACGCTATAAATAAAGTTGCCCAAACATGAGGAAAGATGTACAACTCAATATTTGTTTAATAAATGAGAAGTGGTAACTTGTTTTCATTTGTCTATATAGTTCAGTGAATAAACCTCTTGTTGTAAAATACACACTAGGTGGACCTCTAGATCTTTGAGCTGCAGTACTGGCTCTTTTATCACTCGACAATAATAACTTATGCAAAGACGTTTTCTTCCTAACAGCTAATAAAACATTGTAACTCACTAGGCAAATGCTCTTCCCAGGATTTGACTGAATACTACTGGTTTAAATTCATATATATTTTGTAAGCTCTGAAGAATGTGAGGCTACTTCAAAAGCAATACCATACATATTATTGAATTATATAAATTACTGACTGTGAAACCTTGTCATTAGCATATATAGCTGTAAGTAAAAATATAACATTATATAATGTTATAGACATTTACTATTCATGGTTTATTTTCAATGTGACTTATTTTGAGTTTCTTAGAACTGTATTTTCTAGATCTACATAGTCTTCACATTCACAACTGTGCATTCCCACGAAGAATGGGCCAAATGGTTCTTGGTGTCTCTCGCTAAAACTGTCTTTATTATTGGTACACTACAATCACCATAAGAACTGCAGCGTGCTGTAGCGTTGATGGCACCAGGAATTCCCTGTGCCATAACCACTAGATCTCGAACCATTTTAATATAGTTTGACAATTTACCTTAGTCCAACCAGGGTGCTGTGCCTAACCCTCTGCTTCTGGTTTTCAGTCAGCTCCACTAGGCTAGGAAGGGCCATACAGGGACGTGCTCATTGATTGAAAGCATTAACTGAGCACAGTCCTGTTCTGGATCTGCTTAGCTTATTGAAGACATCTGGCTTCTGCAAAGGACCACATGTAGTACATTGTCCTGGGGGTCCTAAGTAAGTTATCAAACCATTGTAAAATGTTTCTCTTTCTTTTTTCCCCCCACTTCTACACATTTCCACATTCCTTAAAATATCATCATGGGAACATTGAGGTGTGTGTGTTAAATAGTACATTATCTCGAAGTTAAAAAAAATGAATGCAAAACAAACCGCTTACAAAAAATGCCAGGCTAGAAAAATGTCACTTTTTGAATTTGTCCACTAAAAACCTATAACTGTTTGCCTTTTTGATAATTGAACCAAGTCCTAATACCAAGCCAAGACAGCTCAATTTACTAGAGAATGGCAAAAACCCACCACTAGCCTTCAAAATGAGCTAGGTTAGGAAGTTGTTTAGAAGATCTGCGATATCTACTGTCACAGCTCACAAGCTGACTTCTGACCATAATGCAGATCAGCCAAATTAAAATATTTTGTTTACTTTTTTTTTTTTTAAATGCAGGTGGCTGGTGCTTTCGATTTTACTGTCTAAATACGGAAACAGCTGTATAGTCTATATTGTATGATAACCAGTTTTATCAAAACCACAGTATCTAGAAAAGCTGTTAACCATTAGTTATAATACATAATATCAGAATGACATGCTGCCACTATAACAACAATAATTTCCTATGAATAAACCACAATGTAACTGATGCAATATATTGATTGACCTTCAGGTGAATTGTTAATGGAACCATACAGACAATTTAAGTGACTTGTATCGAGCACACATAATTTACTACACATGCACTTGGATGATTGCCCCCTCAACATTATGATATTTCAATGTAAATACTTGTTTCAGTTACTCTTTCCTCCTCAACATTGTGAAAACAATAACAATGCCTTACTTTGCATTTAACCCCTTAAGCACTGAGCCAAATGTACAGGTTGTGATCAAAACAAAACGTAAACAAAAACTTTAATTTGCGCTATATGTCTGTTCAGACGTAATTCGCCTCTTTCATATTATGTGCACCCACACTTATTATATATCATTTTATTCAGGGGAAACAGGGCTTTCATTTAACATCAAATATTTAGGTATAACACATAATTTAATATGAATAAAATATTGAAAAATGGGAGAAATAGTTCTATGTGGCATTCTAACTGTGACTGTCATAATACTGTTTGCTTATACTGCAATAAAATACACATATTTGTATTCAGCAATGTCTCACGTGTAAAACAGTTCCCCCTATGTACAGGTTTTATGGAGTTTTGGAAAGTTACAGGGTCAAATGTTGCATGTTACACTTTTCAGTTTTTTTACATTGAAATTCGCCAGATTGGTTACGTTGCCTTTGAGACTGTATAGTAGCCCAGGAATGAGTATTACCCCCATGATGGCATACCATTTGCAATAGTAGACAACCCAAAGTATTGCAAATGGGGTATGTCCAGTCTTTTTTAGTAGCCACTTGGTCACAAACACTAGCCAAAGTTAATGTTAATATTTGTTTGTGTGTGAAAAATGCAAAAAACTAATTTGAATGCCAATTCTGGCCAGTTTTTGTGACTAAGTGGCTACTAAAAAAGACTGAACATACCCCATTTGCAATACATTGGGTTGTCTACTTTTGCAAATGGTATGCCACCATGGGGTAATTCTTATTCCTGGGCTACCATACGGTCTCAAAGGCAACATAACCAATTTTGCTATTATTAACATAGCAGGGGATAAGAAAATCTTAATTAAACAGAACTTGCAATAAGGAAAGCCTAAATAGGGCTCTCTTTGCAGGAAGTGTTTATGGAAGGCTGTGCAAGTCACATGCAGGGAGGTGTGACTAGGGTTCATAAACAAAGGGATTTAACTCCTAAATGGCAGATGATTCAGCAGTGAGGCTGCAGGGAGCTATAGTTCTCACCTGAACAACCTCATTAAGCTAAAGTTGTTCAGGTGACTATAGTGTCCCTTTAATACATGTCTCTAAAGGATAACATGAACATGAACATACAGTATAGCAATGCAAAAGCTAAAATGATTGCACACATAAATCCTAGACAGGTATTTCTATCTCTATCTTTTCTGTCACTTCACGGACCAAATCTTATTGTTTGGAATAAAAACCTATTGAATGTTAAGAAAGGATGCATTAATAGATTAGCACATATTGATCCTTAAAATTATAGATGGGATGCTTGATCATTGAGCAGTCAGCAGAGGTTAGACATAGGTAGGGATGGCTAAACAGCAGATGCTACTCGAAGTAATTGTTTAACCGGACATGTATCTATATTACAGCAAAATGGAGTCTGTCTTAATCTGAAAATATCTCCAAGTTAATTCCATACAATGTTTCTTAAACTGAAACTCTAAAACTGGAAATCTTTAATGAGCAAAAGGATATTATCTCAATCCTTGTCAACATTGGAGTTCCGTGCTTGATACTGGAATTATAATGGAATGATACTTTACAAACAGAACAGATATTCTATACATTCTGGAGTGTGTTCACTAAACCATATTTCATCCGAGTGCAAAAATAGTTGAGAAAAAAAACAGCAAACTATATTATTGATTGGGCTATTTTGACCTCCAGCAAAATCAGTCTGTAACTACCGGTAATCACATTGTATGTCACACAAAGTAAATAATCTGCACAATATGCAGTCACTATGATTTACACTCAATACTGTTTATTAATAAGGGGAAATATATTCTCTACTCATGTTATACCGGACTGGC